TCTCCGCCTCGGCCGCCGTCCGGGTCCCCCTCAGGCGCCGAGAACCCCGCGAGTGCCGGGCGGGCCAGGGCGCGCAGACATGGGCGGCCGCTCCCGAGCGCGCTGGGCGGTCGCGGCGCTGGGCGTCGCGGGGCTGCTGTGCGCCGTGCTGGGCGCCGTCATGATCGGCATGGTGCCCTCGATCATCGAGCAGCAGGTCTTCAAGGTGCGTGGCGGGGCCGGGGCCGGGCGGGGAGCGGGGTCCCGGGCGGGGAGCGGGGTCCCGGGCGGGGAGCTGGGCGCGGGCGGGGAGCGGGGTCCCGGGCCTGGGCGGGGAGCGGGGTCCCGGGCGGGGAGCTGGGCGCGGGCGGGGAGCGGGGTCCCGGGCGGGGAGCTGGGCGCGGGCGGGGAGCGGGGGTCCCGGGCGGGGAGCTGGGCGCGGGCGGGGAGCGGGGTCCCGGGCCTGGGCGGGGAGCGGGGGTCCCGGGCGGGGAGCTGGGCGCGGGCGGGGAGCGGGGGTCCCGGGCGGGGAGCGGGGGTCCCGGGCGGGGAGCTGGGCGCGGGCGGGGAGCGGGGTCCCGGGCGGGGAGCTGGGCACGGGCGGGGAGCGGGGTCCCGGGCGGGGAGCGGGGTCCCGGGCGGGGAGCTGGGCGCGGGCGGGGAGCGGGGTCCCGGGCGGGGAGCTGGGCGCGGGCGGGGAGCGGGGTCCCGGGCGGGGAGCGGGGTCCCGGGCGGGGAGCTGGGCGCGGGCGGGGAGCGGGGTCCCGGGCGGGGAGCGGGGTCCCGGGCGGGGAGCGGGGTCCCGGGCGGGGAGCTGGGCGCGGGCGGGGAGCGGGGTCCCGGGCGGGGAGCGGGGTCCCGGGCGGGGAGCTGGGCCCGGGCGCGGGCGGGGAGCCGGGTCCCGGGCGGGGAGCTGGGCCCGGGCGGGGAGCGGGGTCCCGGGCGGGGAGCGGGGTCCCGGGCGGGGAGCTGGGCGCGGGCGGGGAGCGGGGTCCCGGGCGGGGAGCTGGGCGCGGGCGGGCGCACCCGGGCGCGGGCCGGCGGGGAGCGCGACCCCGCGGCTTTGCCGGAGGGGAGCGGCCTGGGTGGCGGACCCCGGGCCCGCGCGGGGGTCTGGGGTCCGTCGCTGCCCGGAGCAGGTGCTCGGCCCCGCCGCGGATCCGACCCGTGCCCGTGAGGCCCCGGGAGCGCGGGCCCGCTCCCCACCCCACCCCGGCGGGCACGCAGCAGAGATAAGCCGCTTTTCCTCCGGGCCGGCTGGCAGAGACTAGCCCGGCCCCCGGTCCCCGCGCGGCCCCTGGCTCTCCCAGCCAACCTTCCACCCATTGCCCTTTCAGACCCGCAGACTCTGCCCTGGCCGCCCGCCCTCTGTCCAATGAGCCCAGGAGTCGTTGTCACTTCCCTGAGAGGGACCCGGGGCTCTGAAGGGGTGGGGGCTGCCCTCCCTGGGGAAGGGGGTCACTGCCCTTCCTCCCGGCTGCTGCTTTGCACTGAGGGCCTTCAGCTTGGGGACGTGTCCACCCGCGGTCCCGCAGCCCTCCCCGGGGTGAGTGGAGGGTACTTGTGCCTAGACCTTGCTGCTACTTCCTGGGCCCTGTCAGGCCTTGGGGTCACGGGGTGCTGGGCAGGGCAGGGCAGAGGCCTCTTTTTGAGTAGTTTGGGGTTTTCGGGTCTGTGATGCTGCACCTGGGGCTGGCAGGCTAGCTTCTCTCTCGGGCAGCAGCGCGGCAGTGTTCCTCCCTGTGGGCATTGGGGTGTCCGCACAGTGCCAGCGTCTCCCTGTGTGTGCATGGCTGCGCTCAGCGAGCCCACGCATCACCCGTGCTGGGCACAGCCCGAGGCTCTTGCTTTGGGGCGTGGACGGTGGTAGAGTTTGTTTGAAGCTCAGCTTGGGGTTCTTTTGGGGGTCTATTCTTGGGCTGCTGGGCTGGCAGACGGTCCCTTGGCATGGATGCTCCCACCACAGCCCTCCGCTTCCACAGAGGAAAACCACACTGCTCCGAGACTTATCAAGTTCCGGCTTAAAGTAGCCGCTTTCCAGCCCTTGAAAATCCCAAAGGCTATTGGCTGGGGACAGAGTGGCGTGAAGGCTGAAGACAGCGGGCCCGCCCAGCCCGGGCAGCCTCTTCCCAGACTCCCAGAGCCCGGCCCCAGGGCCTCCTGGAGAAGAAGAAAGCTTGTGTTCAGGGGATGGCGTGGTGGGCCTCAGCCCCGAGAAGGCCTCCCGCGGGAGTTGTCTTTGGCTGCCTAGATCCGTGTGCCGCTTGAATGGGACACCGTGTGCTTTGGTATTTTCTGGTTTGTTAAAGAAGTTCACCTATAAAAGGCATGAATACTTACTTGTAAAGAAAATAATAACCTCAGGACGGGAGGTGGTAGAGCTCGGTGGTAGGGCGCTTGCTTTGCATGTGGATTCCGTCCCCGGCCCCGAAATCCAAATGGAGGAAAAAAAGAGAACAGTCTTTCTATTACCCCTCCTCAGTATCCTTCCCTATTGCCGTGTGATCGCTGGGCATCATCCTAGACTTTCTTCATTTCTCCTTCTTTGGCAGTACTGGGGCGCACGGTTACTATGCAGGTACTCCTCCACTTGCACTGTATACCCAGTCCTTGTTTTGGTTTAGTTTGCTTTTCAGATAAAGAGCATCATCTACCTCCTTTTCCTACTAGCTGAGATTACAGGCATGCACCACCATACCCTTCTTATCATATTTTTTTTTCTTGTATACTTCTGAATACTACTCCTTTGAAGAGGTATATATATTTGTTTGCCTGTTTCTCCGTGGGCTGATGACTTCCTCTCCATGTGTCTGTCTGTGTCCAGAAATACGGCCACAGGGTAGATTCTTTAGGATACACAAGCTTGTTCTATTTGGATTTTGAGTTACCGGTCCAATGTTTCCCTTTTGAGCAAACCTTCTGTTGATACTTCCTCTTTAACAAATGGGGACCGCCCACTTCCCCTCATCTCTATAGATTTGTCATTATTCTGACTTTGGCTTCTCTGATAGGTTTGATTTGCACTTCGGAGTCTACCTTGAGGTTGAGCAGGGCCAAACCCTCTCTGGTGACAGTTCTGGGGCCCGAGGGCGAGGGCCGGCTGTGCCAGGTGTTAGCCCGGGGCTTGGCCAGTGACCTCACTGCTGAGCCCCGGGCCGGTCTTGCTGCAGCTCTGAGGCAGGGTCAGACCTGATTTGTCTCCCAGGGAGATTAGCAGAGCCGGAGCAGATTACCAGTGTGCAGGAACACCCACCCGTGAGGACCACACTTCTCCCGAGCTGACACCTGCCTTGTGAAATCTGCGGAGGTGGAATTCTTCCTTCCTCCAGACAAGGAATCTGGGCCATGGCAAAGGGCAGGCGTGGGTTCGCAGGCCCCAGGGAGGCTTCGGCTCCCCTTCACTGAGCGGGGCTCCCTGTCCGCAGATTTCAAACAAGTTAAAAAGAGATGAAGCCAGCACTGGTGGCTCACGCTGTGAACTCTAGCTACTCAGGTGGCTGTGATCTGAAGATCACAGTTTGAAGCCAGCTTGGGCAAGAAAGTTCATGAGACTCTCATCTCCAATAAACCACCAAAAAGCCAGACATAGAGCTATAGCTCAAGTGGCAGAGCACTAGCCTTGAGCAAAAAGTTCAATGACAGCACTTGGGCCATGAGTTCAAGGGCCAATACACTTTCTCTCTCTCTCTCTCTGTCTCTCTCTCTCTCTCTCTCTGTCTCTCTCTGTCTCTGTCTCTGTCTCTCTGTCTCTCTGTCTCTCTCTCACACACACACACACACACCTAAGCAACGGTCTGTATTTTCAGTGGGTTGAGCTTAGTGCATGTAAAACCTTGGGAAAAGATACGGAAGCGTGCACTCTATTTTTTTTTTTTTTTTTTGGGTCCGGTCGTGGGGCCTGAACTCTGGGCCTGGGCACTGTCCTTCAGCTCTTCAGCTCAAGGCTAGTGCTCTACCACTTGAGCCACAGTGCCACTTCCGGCTTTTTTTTCTTTATGTGGTGCTGAGGAATCGAACCCAGGGCCTCAGGCATGCAAGGCAAGCACTCTGCCACTGAGCCACCTTCCCAGCCCTGGAAGGGTGCACTCTAGACTGACAAAGGTGCTGGTGCTCACAGCCCAGGAGAGACCAGGAAAGCGGCCAAGGCAAGCTTTATCCACCGAGGGTTTTTGTTTGTGTCTCACTTTGTAGCTCAAGCTAATTTTTTTTTGTCAGTCCTGGGGCTTGAACTTAGGGCCTGGGCCCTGTCCCTGAGCTTCTTTTGCTGAAGGCTAGCACTCTACCACTTGGGCCACAGCACCACTTCTGGCTTTTTCTGCTTATGTGGTACTGAGGAATGGAATCCTTCATGCATGCCAGGCAAGCACTCTACCACTGAGCCATCTTCCCAGCCTCAGGCTATTTTTGTTGTTGTTGTTGGTTGTGAGGCTTGACCTCTGGACCTGGGCGCCGTCCCTCAGCTCTTCAGCTCAAGGCAAGCGCTCTACCACTTGAGCCACAGTGCCATTTCCTGTTTTCTGGTGGTTAATTGGAGTTAAGAGTCTCACAGACTTTCCTGCCCAGGATGGCTTTGAACTGTGATCCTCAAATCTCAGCCTCCTGAGTAGCTAGGATTACAGGCGTGAGCCACCAGTGCTCGGTTTCTTCAGGCTAAGCTTGAAGACTTTTTTTTCTTGCCAGTCCTGGGGCTTGAACTCAGGGCCTGGGTGCTGTCCCTGAGCTTCTTGTGCTCAAGGCTAGCACTCTACCACTTAAGCCACAGCTCCACTTCTGGCTTTTTCTTTGCTCGTGGAGCTGAGGAACCCAGGGCAGGGCTTCATGCATGCTGGGCGAGCACTCTACCACTAAGCCACATTCCTGGCCCAAGATTTTTTCACCCTCTCTCTTTCTGGTACCAGGTGGGGTTCAGACCGTCTGTCATCTCCCTTAGTCCATGCAGGGTGTTGTGACACACGACCTGTCACAGTCAGTTGGAACAGGCTGAGGAGAGTAGGCTGCCCGGGTGGTAGCCCTGGGGTGTGGGCAAAAGTTCCGGAGGCAAATCCTCCAGGGCAGGGCCGCCTCTGTGTTCTGCCTGGGTGAGGGCCTGGCGTGTGTCTGTCTGTGTCCTCCAGGCCACCATTTCCAGGATGGGTCTGTCTGTCTGTCCCGTGTCCCAGGCCGACTAGGAGTGGTTTTTCCAGTCCCCACTGCCGCCACCGGCCCACCGTCTCTGCGAGCGGCTCA